CTCCGGACTGCAAGCTCTGAGAGGCCGTCTGCTCTTCAGCTGGGCTCTCGGTACCCAGAGCGCCCAGCCCGTGGGAGGAATGTGCAAATACTCAGTGAATGAATGGGCTGAAGAGGGAAGTTGAGGGAGAAACTAGGCCTAGAACGGAAGCCAAATGCTTTTAGCATCACTCTCTGTCTCCGGTACATCTTACATTGAGAGGGCAGGGCGGGGTGAGGGGGCAGGCGGGGCGAGAGGGCAGGTGGGGTGAGAGGGCAGGTTGGGGCGGGTCCAGCTCCAGGTAACTGGACCCTAGCCTAGGCCTAACCCAACCAATCAGGTCAGCCAAGGTAGCAGCACCACCCTCCCTATAAAACCCATTGATATGTTAAGTTCTTCCTCTTTCTCGCCCATGCCCTCCTTGGTGTAGGTGAGACTGGGCTAGGACTAGTCCGAAATAAATACAGGCTTTCTGCAATTGCATCGGATTCGGCTCCCTGGTAGTCTTTGGGGTTTATGACACTTGGGCACAACAACATCTCTAGAAGTTCATTTGTTTCAGCAATGGAAGTGTGCTATAGAGTCGCTGCTATGCATTCCCAAATGTCACAGGAAAACTGTGAGGACAGAGAGCCTTAAAGGTGCAGAGAGCTCCGTGGAGCCCCAGCCTCCCGGCCCAGCCGCAACCCACTTGTGGGACATGACATGCAAACATATTTTTGCTTCATTCTCACTATACGCTTTTTCTTTAGAGTTGGGAAAGCCTGATATTTAGTTAAAGCAAGTATAAGGTACTATGTATAAAATATACATCCCGTCGCTAATATAAATAATTGCCCTGCTGCTCTTCTGATATGTATCCTGGCCTGAAGATCAAATAGATCCACAAACCTGAACTCAGCCACACCCCCCACACACAGAGGCAGTGCTTTCCGCCTGCTCTCCCGAGGAGGCGGTGACCTGCAGAGGAAGTTGCTTCACTTCATAAAAAGCATAAACCAATGGAAAGAGTCAATTGCCCATCGCTGTGACTAACAGCAGGAAGGACCCATCCCTCGTGACTAATAGCATAGGCTTTTAAGAATATTTGCATTGCAAAAACCTCTGCGACTGGGAGATTGTGGGGAGGACTTGGGGAGAGGGTGATGATCAGAGGTCTGGTTCATCGGGACCCATCACACCAGACACTCCGCTAAGGAAGTCCACAGGTGTCAGATGTCACCTGAGAAGTGGGCCGCCTCACTCTGTCTTGTAAGGAAGAGGGCCAGGCGGTGCGTCTGCATTTCCCGGGGAAGGCACCCTCGTGAGACATCGCAGGTAGAAGTCAGTGAGTTTTCTACAAACTAATGAGAGGACAAACCAAGGGGCAAAAGGACAAACGCATGAGAAGAATTCCATACGGAGAACACACATGTGGCCAACGATATCCCTCCTGAGCAGTCAATAGTGGAATGCAAAACGAAATCAGACGGTAGCTTTTACAGCTTTGGGCTGACAAGACAGTGTGACATGAACAAACATGTTGGCAAGCAAGTGAAGCAGGAACCCTTATCCTCCAAAGGACACAGATGTGGAGAAAATCAGGGATGTTCTAACATGATTGAATCACACCTACCACTGATCACTCACAGGCAACCTCTGAAAACCCAGACTGAACATTACAGAAACCTGCACGGCAGCACCACTTTAAAGAGCAACACATACATTTGAAACATCGTAAATGTCCAAGGTGAAGGCTGCGTAAATGGGGTCTGGCTATGCAGTGGGATGCCATACATGTTCCAAGTGAACGAGAGCTACGTCCTCCAAGTGCTTGGTCTCTCAAATGGAATGCTGAGTGAGAGAAAGCAAGTTACCAGTGTAGAGCACAGTTGTGTAAAGACGAACAACGGTACTTTGTATTGCTTAAGGAACACACACACACACACATTTTACGAAGCTGAGGGTAGCACAATTAGTGGGTGGGAGAGGTACATAGAGAAAAACTGCTAATTCTTATTTCTGCTGCTGAGTCTTGCTGACATAACATATGCCCTGTTTTGAGTTATTTAGCTCTTAAATATTGTATGATACACATTTAAAAACATCAAAAGTGAAAACTAGGAGAAAAAATAAAGAATTCAATTTAGGAGCTTCTGCACCGGGACCTCCATAATGAATTCTGTTTGAATTCCTTCCTTCCATCCTCTTGCAAACAATGTTCCCGTCCCTCCGGTTCCTCCGGTTCCTCCAAGGTGATTGAGCACCTGTCCTTGGTTTTTCAATTGCAAAGTTCACAGTCCCCACGCGATAGGTCCATGGCTTCACTAGCAAAGGAAAGTGTCAGGAACACCCAACGAGAGAGAGAGGCGGATGGACTGGGACGGCCTTCTTAGCTCCTGCACTTGGGGCACCTGCATGATTAGGCATATACTCACCTCGAACCACAGCAACAAGATGGGGCGCACGCTTGTCTCTCCATAAAGCAGAAACTGAAAAGGACAAAATAAAAAGACGCTGCTGATAACAACAGGTGTAGTGCACGTGCTTGCTCTCTGTGATGGTTTGGGTGGGCGTTGGCCTCAGTGTGTCTGTGGAGGAGGCTCACCAGGCTGTGACGGCAGAGGGAAGCCCCGCAGTCACGGGCTGCTTCCCTCCAGGGCGGCGGGCGGCAGGGCTGCCCTGGTAAGAAATTAGGTGCGGAAGCAGATAGAAGCCTGCTTTCTTCTGTCGGGTTAGACATCAAAGAGACTTCCAAACATTGCACATGGGTATGCAGTGGTTTGTAGAACAGTGTCATTTTTCTCAGTAAGTTTGTTGGCTTTGGAAAGTATAGTTATTTTTCATAAAATGTCTGATATGCACCTATAGTGCATTTTTATTGTTATTATTTAATATGGATAAAGTAATGTTCAAACACTCGCTGCTTAATTTCTAATATAGCAAGTAATTACAGACACACCCACAGACGCGAAGTGGGGCCTCGGAACCCTGCAAGCCGGTGGCCATACCCCCGCCCCCTTCGCTCTCCCCCTCCCCCGTCCCCTCTCCCCCCCTTCTTCCCCCTACACCCTCCCCTTTCCCTCCCCCCACTCACCCTCCCCCCCCCCCGCCTCCTTTACCTCCCCCCCCCCCTCCGCCTGCCCCTCCCTCCGCCCGGCGGCCTCTCGCCCTGATCCTCCCCTGAGAATAAGCTTTCCTTGATTTTGCCTTTTTCACAGAGAGGGGAAGAACCATAAGGTGAGAGCGCACCTGGAGTGCGTGTCCCCGCAGGTGCCCAGAGGGGCGGGCGGAGCCACCGCCGGGTCCTTGCCGGGTCCGCCCGGTGCCCGGTGCCGGGGGCCGCAGCCCCACAGGCCGGGTCCTGAGAAGGACGCAGCCCGCGTGCGCTGAGTGTCCGCCGGAGGGAGGGAGAGCCGGGTGCCCCCGCGCCGGGCCACAGCCCCGCTTCACCTCCGGCCGAGCCGGCCCCGGGCAGGGCCTCGCCCCCTGCCCGCCTCCCGTCCCGGCTCCGCTCGGCTCCGCTCCGGCTCCGGCTCCTGCGCCAGGCGCTCCCGCCCGCCGCCGCCCCGCGCGCCCAGGAGCCCGTCTCCCCGCGCCCAGGAGCCCGTCTCCCCGCGCCCGGGAGCCCGCCGCCCCGCGCGCCCAGGAGCCCGCCCCGCGCCCAGGAGCCCGCCGCCCCGCGCCCGGGAGCCCGTCTCCCCGCGCCCGGGAGCCCGCCGCCCCGCGCGCCCAGGCGGAGGGAGCAGCAGGCCTGGAGGTGCCGCCTCCCTCCTGGAGCCTCTCCATGCACCCCAGCCCCTGCCCCGGCTCCTGTCCGCTTGACAGCCACGGGGCGCCCAGGTGGGTGTGCGGGGAACCAGGTGGGTGTGGGGGGAACCAGGTGGGTGTGCGGGAACCAGGTGGGTGTGGGGGGACCAGGTGGGTGTGCGGGAACCAGGTGGGTGTGCGGGAACCAGGTGGGTGTGCGGGGAACCAGGTGGGTGTGGGGGGAACCAGGTGGGTGTGGGGGGAACCAGGTGGGTGTGGGGGGAACCAGGTGGGTGTGCGGAACCAGGTGGGTGTGCGGAACCAGGTGGGTGTGCGGGAACCAGGTGGGTGTGCGGGAACCAGGTGGGTGTGCGGGAACCAGGTGGGTGTGCGGGAACCAGGTGGGTGTGTGGGAACCAGGTGGGTGTGCGGAACCAGGTGGCGAAGTGTGTGCGACCTGAGGACCAAGGTCGGACCCAGTTGTCTTCCCACCAGCCTGGGACCCACATCTGCCTGCCCGCCCGGCGGCCCCTACCAGGTGGCCCTCACTGGCCCTCACTGGTCCTCACTGGCCCCTCACTGGCCTCCCAGGTGGCCCTCACTGGCCCTCACTGGCCCTCACTGGCCCCTCACTGGCCCTCACTGCCCCTCACTGGCCTTCCAGGTGGCCCTCACTGGCCCCTCACTACCTCCCAGGTGGCCCTCACTGGCCCTCACTGCCCCTCACTGGCCTCCCAGGTGGCCCTCACTGGCCCTCACTGGCCCCTCACTGGCCTCCCAGGTGGCCCTCACTGGCCCTCACTGGTCCTCACTGGCCCTCACTGGCCCCTCACTGGCCTCTCAGGTGGCCTCTCACTGGCCCCTCACTGGCCTCCCAGGTGGCCCTCACCTGCTCCCAGGTGGGCCAGGCTGGGATCTGGGTTCAGGCCGGTGGAACTGAGGCCTCAGGCGCCGGGAGGCAAACACCACGCACAGAGGACCCGCAGGGCTGAAGTGTTTGGGGGCGACCCCCCAGGATGCTGATCCCACCTCGCTGCCCGGGGAAGGGGGTACCGCCTCCTTCCAGGAAGCGATGGCCCTCCTGCCCCCACTGCGCCCCACTCCCCCGCGGACCCATGATCCTTCACCGGATCCTGAAGGTCGGCCCCAAGGACAGGAAGGGGCAGGGAGGGCACCTGGGGCCACGGGTGGAGGGCACCCCAGGAGGAAGGGAAGGCCAGTGGCTGATTGGGATCTCCTGGGTTCAGAGGTCGCCGGAGCCGGCCCCTGACACCCCCTCTCCCCGCAGCTCGATGGGGGCGCCGTCCCTGCTGCTGTGCCTGAGCGCGGTCCTCCCGCTGCTGCTCCGTGCAGGTATGCTGGCTTTGCCTGGGCCTCCGGCCCCCTCACATATGTCCGTGTGTGTGTGTGTGTGTGTGTGTGTGTGTGTGTGTGAGTATGGGGGCAGGGGAGGCGCGGGGGGCGGGGTGCTCTGAGCTGGGCAGCTCACCTTCCCCAGGGGACAGGCCGGGTCTGCGGAGTGGGATGCTCGGCCCAGAGGCCCCTAGAGCTTCCAGGTGACTTGGAGAGGAGGAGGGTTCGGCAAAGTTGCAAGAGGGTTCAAAGACTTGGGTTCAAAGGTCAGATGGGCGCAGTGCTGCCTGTGTTATGGGACAGGGCTGCTATGGGACCCAAGGCAAATGCAAACTAAGCAGTTTGGCGGAAAGGAACCTTAAAGCGAGCCGGCCTTTAAACAAATAGCTGGTGACAGAAAGCAGGACAGGAGCGCTGAGAGCAGGAAGGGTCCTCCGAGGGAGGGGCAGAAGAAGGCCTTCCGGAGGTGGGAAAGAGCGGAGGCTGAAGGTGGGGAGGAGCAGGGATTCAGTCCTATGGATACACTGGGAGGACGTGGCATTCTGCTTTCACATCAGCACACTATTTGGGGACATTCCCACCCTGAGAAAGCTCTCAAATGCAGTTGGCCTGGCATTGACACGTTTGTTGAACTAGTAATGAATGACGGCAAGTTCTCCCGATTGCTCCCCTTCCTCTCCCTAGACGAATGCCAGAACATCCGCTCGCTGACCGAGGCACAGCCGGCAAAGCAGCCTTTTGCCATTGACTGCACATCCCCTCTGCTGACCGCCGCAGCGCGTGCCACGTGGTACAGACACCCGAGCGAGGCCCCCGTCTCCACCGACCGGCAGGCCCGGGTCCACCAGGAGCAGAGCTGGATCCTGTTCCTCCCCCTGGCCTGGGGGGACTCGGGGACCTACCGGTGCCTTATAAAGTAAGTCCCCCTTAACGAGCACTAGCACACTCTCCCTCACAAGTCATAACTACATGTCTATAATTCTCTTAGGAAACTCCTTAACTACTTAAAAACTCAGTGAGAAGAATAAAACGTAGTTTTATAGTTGTTATAAAACAACTTCCAATGAAGACATTTTAAAGAGAGAAGACTTGTAAATCAGTTGTTAGAACATGAAATACAGCTTTTCCTGTGGAAATGATGCCGTAGCCAGACCGACTTCCAAAGCTGGTGCCTCCCAGTGTTACTGTTGCTGCCCTCTTCCTCCGTGCCCAGCGACAGGCTGCCGTCCAGCGGGGAGCCAGCCTCCTCTGCGCACCGCTCTGTAAGCGCCTGCTGCGTAAATGGAACAGTGGCAAGCACCATGCGTGTTCCGGGCCCAGTGTGCGCTGAGCTGGACCTAGCCCTGTGTGGACGGATGACAGCTCTGGTGGGAGAGCTGAGCGGGTGGGCCTGCGAGAGCCGGAAGCATGCCTCACTGAAGGCGGCATCTATTCAACTCGTTTATTTTCTAGTTTTCCGAGGAAACGTGAACATCAGTGTGTGTGTGACCTACATAAAACACACCTTGGACCCAGTTCTGCCTTTACTGACATGCACGAGCAGGAGCTGAATGCCTGCGGGGACCCTGAGGCTGGGCTCTTATCTGCTGAGTGGGCTGATGCAGCCCGGGAGGGCTGAAGGGAAGTGAGCTGGGATCATGGGGAGCAGGTGCCTCCGGAAGGAAGCTGCATTTGCTCTCATTCTGTTTCTGTGGTATCTGCCGGTCCCTTTCTGGGTCCGGCTCCGATCATACGATTCCTTATTTTCATATGTCAGACGGACCTACGGGACAAAACCACGCAGCGGGGCAGAAGCAGAAGTGGCGGGAGCCTGAGTACGCCCCTTCCCCTCGGCTCCACTGCCCACGCCATCGCTATCCTGCGGAGCTTTGCTCTCCATGACTGTGCACTAACTAGAGGGGAGACTGTGTGTCACACAGATTCACCCTGAAATCCAGACTGCGCTTAAAGTGTCTAAACCTGGAGGCCGGAAAATGGGGAAAATCATCTTTCAGAGAAAGGAAACATATTGTCTGTAATAGAAAATAAACAAGAATTTTCACAAAATTTTAACATATACATATATAGACATGATACATATTTAGTAAACTGTGTATTTGAAATACTTTCAAATTCACATAAAATTTGCAAGACTAGTATAAAGAACTCTCACTTACCCTTTAACTGTACTTCCCATTATTTGATGTTTTGCCACATTTACCTAATTATTCTCTCCCCGTATATTCGTGCATCACACATGGTAAGTTTCTAACTCTTTATTCCCAAACCATGTGAGCTGTAGGCATATGACCACTGACCCTTTACTATTTCAATGTGTGTTTTCTGAGAACAGAAACATGTTCTTGCTAATCGCACCCAGAGCACACATTGGGACGTTTTACTGTAGCAGTTTTACCCGCCCTCCGCAGGCCGCGGGGCCGCCCCACCCGCGGAGCAGCGTGCTCCTCCGGGCTCTGGCAGGAGCCCCGGCCCGCGGCACGCGCTCCCGTCCCTGGAGCAGTCCGACCGTTAGAAGCAGCACAGGAACCTGTTTATATGAAATCCCTAATCTGGGTTCTCTCTCCAGGAGCCTCCAGGTTGGAACACTGCCGAGCGGTGTCCTCGGAGGCCACACACAGCGGCGCTGTTTCCGCCTGCCGGCCACGTCCACCCTGGTCACTGGGCTGGGTGCTCCCGGTTCCCGTGAGCCAGCACTTCCTGGGTGCAGTGGCTGCAGTGCTCCCAGTTCCCACGAGCCGGCACTTCCTGGGTGCAGTGGCTGCAGTGCTCCCAGTGCCCATGTGCCAGCACTTCCTGGGTGCAGTGGGTGCAGTGCTCCCAGTTCCCATGTGCCAGCACTTCCTGGGTGCAGTGGCTGCAGTGCTCCCAGTTCCCATGAGCCGGCACTTCCTGGGTGCAGTGGCTGCAGTGCTCCCAGTTCCCATGAGCCGGTACTTCCTGGGTGCAGTGGCCGGGCGCTGTGCTGGTCCCGCTGCAGGCAGGTTGGCACCGTGCCCTCGGGGGATCGGCACGCGTTTGGAGATGACCAGCATCATTGGCTCTGTGATTGTTTCATGAGGCTCCACTCTGTTATCTCTTACAGTGATACAGACGAGTGTCACCAAGTACATGTAAACCTCACTGTGTTTGGAAAATACGGGTGTCGCAGAAACAGTCAGAGGATCTTACCAGATGGGCACGAGCAGATCCTGCATGTTGGGGGAGATGACAGCCTCTCATGCCATCTGAACTTCCCGGAGAGTTGTGTCTTGGACTTGAACTCAGTAAAGTGGTATAAGGTAAAAAAAAAAAAAAAAAAAAAAGGATTTTCCTATTAATACTCTCTCTCTTTTCCTTAAAACCTACTAATGCCAGTTTGGCTCAGAGGTAGAGCGTTGGTCCGCGGACTGAAGGGTCCCAGGTTCGCTTCTGGTCAAGGGCATGTACATTGGTTGCGGGCACATCCCCGGTAGGGGGTGTGTGGGAGGCAGCTGGTCGATGTTTCTAGCTCTCTGTCTCTCTCCCTTCCTCTCTGTAAAAAATCAATAAAAATATATTTAAAAAAATAAAAAATAAATAAAACCCACTAGTTTTTTCAATTTTAAGGCAAAATTAGTAAAAAGATTGTGTATCTCAGACAGATTTGTTAGCTAATTGCTATTGCCAATCTTATCTGCTAATTATTTATGTTTAAATTTATAGTTATTATAGCTTTGTAATATTTTATTATTTGTATCTTCCCCCCCCCCCCCATCCTTACTTTCCAGACCATCCTTGGCTATTTCTCTTTTCTAACAGACTAATTAGTCCATTTGTTTGAATGGCCCTCGCATGCTGCAATAATCACACAGCACCAGCCCCTGAAGTCTCCTTCCCACTCCTGATCTGTGTGTCCTGGGCCCAGGCCCCTCCCCCAACAAGTGGCTACTCTTATTAATCCTATTAAGTGTGATGTTTATTTTGGAGTTAAATGCCTTTTAACAGATCAAGGAAGTTCTGGTTTGCTTGAAATCATATTATGAATGGATGTTAAATTTTATCTGCCTTTCCTAATTATTAGATACTAGAGGCCCTGTGCATGCAAATGGGGAGCCCTGGATGGGGAGCCCTCAACCTGGCCTGCCCCCTCAAACAATCCGGGAGCCCTCAGAGGCAGGAGGTGACACCCCATCACACCACTGCTGCTGCTACTGCTGGAAGCACAAGCCTCGGCCTGCTCTTGTTACCTGAGCCTCTGGCAGCCCTGGGCAGCTGGGGGGCTGAGGGGACTGCAATAATCACACAGCACCAGCCCCTGAAGTCTCCTGGAGGCAGATGCACAGTGCTGAGGGGACTGAACACTGCCATCTTGTGGCTGTGGGCACTGCCATCTTGAAGGTGGGGCATCTAATTAGCATATTCCCTCCTCATTGGCTATGGGCACCACCATATTTGTGACAGTGTGAGGGTCAATTAGCATATTCCCTCGTTATTAGGTAGGATTTTTTTTTTTTTTTTTTTTACTCTGTTCTGTACTGAATAACAGGAACTGATTTGTGAATGTTATACCAATGTTGCATTACTGGAATAATCTAAATTGGTGTTGTCTTATTTGGCTTGTTGTCTTATTTGGCTTGCCTGATTAGTTAAAATTTTTTCATCTAAATCATGAAGTAGCTATTTGTAATTTTTGTTGTCTGCTTTGTCCTTGTCAAATTTTGGTATAAAGGATATGCTGACCTTGGAAAATAACTTGGGAAGTAATCTTTACTTTCTTCTGAAATGTTTAAGATTGATTTTATTTCTTATGCTACATGCTTTAAGTGTTTATAGTGAAGTTATGTAAGACTGGGACTTCCTTTGAGGGAAGGTTTTAAATTATAGAATTCAGTGTCCTTAATTATAGAACCACTCAGATGCCTTACCTGTTCTTATAGCAAATTAGCACATTGTGCTTGCTTAGAAATTTTCATTTTATTTTTATAATTTTTAAATTATTGAGCTAAAATTCTTCAAAATATACTCTTATTACCTTTTTATTTTATTTTATTTTATTTATTTATTTAAAAATATATTTTATTGATTTTGTACAGAGAGGAAGGGAGAGAGACAGAGAGCTAGAAACGTCGATGAGAGAGAAACATCGACCAGCTGCCTCCCACACACCCCCTACCGGGGATGTGCCCGCAACCAATGTACATGCCCTTGACCAGAATCGAACCCGGGACCCTTCAGTCCCCAAGCCAACACTCTATCCATTGAGCCAAATTGGTTTCAGCTCTTATTACCTTTTTAATGTTTGTAGGATTTGAGGTGATGTCTTTTTTTCATATCTGGTGTCATATCTCCTCTCTCTCTCTCTCCTCTCTCTCTCTCTCTGTGTGTGTGTGTGTGTATGTTTTGTTTTGTTGATGACTCCTGCCAAGGGTTTTTCAACATGAATAGTTTTTTCAAAGCACTAACTTTGTTAACTCTGTTTCATTAATTTCTGCTGTCTTTTAGCCACCTCCCCCCTCCCCTGTTTTCTCGGGTTTTAATTTGTTGGTATTTTAATAACTTTATGAGATGGATTTTTGGATGATCCTATATAATAAAGGGCTAATATACTAATTAGACTGAACAGCAGAATGACCATCCAGTCGAAGCCAGAGCTGAGAGGGCTAACTAGGTTGCAAGGGCTGAGCCTCTTGCAGGGAATTTGTGTGTTGGGCCTCTAGTTAATTATAAGCCTTTCTTCTTTTCTACTATATGCTTTTAAAGTCATTTTTCTCTAAACTAATTTTAGCTGCTTTCTACACTTTTGATATATATTCTTATTCAGTTGAAAGTATTTTCTAATTTCTAATGTTATTTCTTCTTTGAACTCTGTATTATTTTTAAGAATTGCCTAATTTGCAAATATAGTGGATTTTAGTTGTTGTTAATCCTCATCTAAGGATATGTTTTTCCATTGCTTTTTCAGAGTGAAAGGAAGGGAGGGAGGGGAGATAGAAACATCAGAGTGAGAGAGCCACATTGACTGGTTGCCTCTCACACACTCCAAGTAAGGGCAGGGAGTGAACCTACAACCCAGGTTTATGCCCTTGACTGGGAGTCGAACCCATGACCCTTTGTTGTGTGATTCTCTACCCACTGAGCACAACAGCCAGGGCAATGTATTGGATTTTTAAAAAGTTACTTTTCTGCTTACTTGCACTGTGGCAGAGAATCTACTCTATATGTTGTAAATAGTTTGGAATTTGGTGAAACTGCCTTCTAATTCCACGTTTGTAAATGCCTCAGGCTTATTCACAAGAATGAGAGCACTGCAGTTGGTTTGGTAATTCTGTTATTCACGTCTGCAATGCACTTCCCGCCTTGCCTTCTTCTTTCAGTTCCTTAGGCAGAGATGCAGAAGTAACCTTGGTGGCCGTAGGTTTTGGATTGTGGCTCACCCACTTCTGAGCCCAGCCCAACTTCTCGGGAACCAGTGTCCACTTCCCTCTCGTGGCTCCTGGACTCTGCTCCTCAGGCCTCTGGCCGCCGCCACTGCCTCGCAGCACCTCCTGGCACCGGTGTGACAGGGCAGGGACCTCACTGAGGACTCTGGCCTGGCTGCACCTGCGACATCATAGACATGAAAGCAGTGACATTTGAGAGGCAGATTTTTAACATCAACTCTACCGCTACACCAGTGTCAAGATGCAGACGCATTGCACCTGGATTTCTCCCTTAGAGAATAAGTGAGAGTTTGGACACATGATTTCAGGCTTTCCAACCCCCATGGCCACAAGCCTGAGGGAAAACCTATTCCCTCCCACTCCCGTGTGATCAGACTTAGAGGAGCGGGCAATGGTTAGCATTTGGCAGTGCTATAATCCTTATCACTGCTTACAACGCATGTCAATTTCTGTAAAACACAGAGACAGTCTAGAGCACGTGATTGGCCTACGTGTGCACCACCTTTAACCTGTGGGTCTTTTAAAGTTGGATGCCTGGCCTCTTCTCTGCTGCTGAGCCAGGCCATGCACGAGGGAGACCCAGACAGATTTCATTCAAAATAGCCACTCTGCCTGGGAAGACAGGAGGAGGCAGGGAGGCAGGGAATATAAGAAGGAAGGACCGTTCTCCAGTGTCAACCTGTGCAGACCCAGCGACCTCAGTTAGGGCTCTGTTTTTGCTGTGGGTCCCCTTGGGCCGCAGTGTTTTCATCTGTGAAATGGGATACATTATGAAATATTTAGAGCTTATATCTGCTCGGTGTTATGCCAGGCACTGGGGATGTCCTGAGGAGAGAGAGCCCTCGCTGCCCAGCAGTTACAGTTCACCAGAAGGCAGACAGACAAGCAAAGGGAACAGTTTCATTACAGCACGAAGTCAGTCACAGGACTTCTGAGGAAATGCTTCTGGGCGAGTGGCTGCTGAGCTGTGTTCACACACAGAATGATTGACAGCTAACTTGGGAGGGACCCCAGGTTAGCTGTCAATCATTCCTAAACCTGGTTAGCACACGTTGACTATGGTCCAAATAGGACGTTGGTAAGGAGTTATTTTGACCTCTGTAAAGGCTAGCCCTTGGTGAGTGCAGGTACAACAGGGCCTGTGACACAGCGAAGCAGTCCTTGGCCAAGGGGCGTGATGCCATCGGACGGCGCCCATTGGGAGAGAAGGCCCTGAGGGTGAGGACTCTGCCTGTCCACATCCTCCCACTGCATGCCTTATGGCCCAGCCTGTGTTCCTCCCGGAGTCCTGCAGCCTGAGAGGCCTGTCCGCAGACCCCCATTAGGCTGGATGTTTGTAACACCATTTCAGCCTGCTGAACGCTCTGTCAGCTCTTCCTGGAGAGGGTTACAGTCTTCAGTAGGTTGTAAACTACCTGATGTCTAGGAGCCACACAGTTTCTTGTATCTCCCACAGTTCAGAGAATGCTGCCAACTGGGAATGGAACTGATCCCAAAAGGCTCTTTGAGTTGAATTTTTTTTCTTTTATATTTAGGACTGTAAAGAGATTAAAGAAAAGCGGTTTGAAAAATGGGGGAAAAGGCTGTTAGTGAACAATGTCTCGGCAGAAGACAGGGGGAGCTATGCCTGCAAAGCCAATCTGACACACGCAGGGAGGCAGTTCACCGTGTCCCGGAGAATCGCCGTGAATGTCAGTAAGTACGCTCATGGCCTGCCTGAGCTCCCAGCTCCGTGGGAGAGGGTGCTCTCCCTTTGAGACGAGGGGTTGATCCTCCTGAAGGTTAGAATCAGGCTCTCACATGTCACTGTTAGAATCAGGGTGGAAAGAATGAGGCAGGAGCAGTTTAGTTTGCTCGCCTGAGAAAACAGAATACTCAAAGCCCTTGGTCCACCGTAATGGAAACACACACATATCCTGTATTAGATAGCTCCTGGGATGCCTGGCCAGAATGGGGATGTAGTGTGTGGTGGACATTGTGAAAAGTACTCCGTTTCCCTGAGCCCTCACTGTGTGACTCTTTTGGTGGCCATGCCAGCCATGGTCTCTGGAATTGGTTCCAGATGCCTCATGCCCATGGGGTCTTAGTTCCCAGCCCAGAGTTCTGGATTTCTTAAACACATGCCCAGAACATTTTAAAGCCGAATCTTAGCAGGAGAAGAAATCCTAACTAGCAATGTCGCTCGAGCCATTAAGTTTGCAGAGGCTCAGGAGGAGAAGGGCCTCCTGCCCTTACACAGTGGTCAGTGGTGGCCACAGGCCTGAACCCAGGCCGTAGGCCCGGGCAGCAGGTCCCTCTAACACTCAGCAGGGGTTTCTGCTCGCTGCCTGGGCTTTTTTCCAGGAAAGAGTTGTTTTCTACATTTACTCCGCTAAATGGGAAAAACTGAAGGCTAATACATCCTCATTTTAATATTAAATTTATTGGGTAACATTGGTTAATAACATTATGCAAACTAGAGGCAAACAATCTCATATAGCATATGTCTGTGTATGTCTTTGCCTTGTCTCTTCATGCTTGTCCCTGATTTCTGTCAGCCTTCATGTCCTGGGGACACTGGATTTCTTGATGGTGTGGCTGTCTGTGGAGGTGTGTCCAGCTGGAGTGGCTTCCCACTTCCCACCTGGAGTCCCTTCATTATGAAAATTAATTGCATTTGTTCTTATGATTTTTTGCTTTGGGTTTTATGTAAGTGATACAACTCTGGAAGTAGGCACTTTGTGTTGGCCACAGTTGAAGCCCTAACATTGAACCCAGTGCCTGGCCCACGTCAGACGAAGATCTATGTCTGAACTGAATGATTGACTGCTCCTATACTTTAGTTTTATCTGTAGCAGAGAGAACTCTTTGAAAGGCAAAATTTCAGAGGCATCTGAAGAATAAGTCAGAGGTCACTGAGTCCAAGAGTCTAATTTTATGTAATTGAAGTAAACATTTATTTTTGATCTATTGTATACATCAAACTGTTAAAATTTGATAAACAAAAAATTTTAAAAACTACACTTTGTTTTTTTCTGTTGAGAAGCTCTCAGCCGAGTGGTAGCTGAGCTAGAGAGCATTTCGCATTCTACAGTGAGGACAGAGTTAAAGGCAGTGTCTGAGGGAGCAGGAAGAGACTCAGAGGTCACCCCATGGGGGCAAGTAAATGGCTGGGAAGGCTTCAGAAAGGAAACACCATCTGAGCTGAACTGTGAAGGATGAGTAGGGTTTGTGAAAATAAAGAAGAGTGAGGAGGGGCAGAGAGAGTATAAGGCAAAGCATACAGTGTCTGCCATTGTAGATGATGTTGGATGTAAAACTAATCTTATTAGAGCAAATGTACGTACAGGTGAGGAGGCCATAGAGTCCAATGGACAAGGCCAAGGGGATCGTTACAAGCAGGAAGTATCATGTTGCCTCTGAAGAGCCCTGAGTCAGGTGCATGTACAGAGCGACAAGGCTGTGTTTGTGATGGTGAACGTTTGAGATGGTTTGGCAGGAGGTGAAGAGGGTTGGAGGCCTGGACCATTTAGAATGCTTCTCCCATGCCCAGAAAAGTGTTGATCATCTAGATTGGATGGAAGTGGTAGGGCTTCTTCTCAGGCAGTCATTCAGTGAGTCTTCACTCAGTGCCTAACAAGGCCAGGTCCTGTGCTAAGTAGCGAGAACATGATGGTGAGAAAAACAGCCAGGACCACTGCTCTGATAGGGCTTTGAAGCCTGAGCAGGTGGGAGGGAGACATTTACCAGACAGTGTCCTGATGATGATAACCAAGGCAATGAATGCAACAAGGAAAGGAAAATAGATCAAACAGATAAGGACCTACTGAAAAGTCAAGGAAAGCTTGGGGGAGCTTTTTTGAGACTGAGGGTGCAGCCAAGTGAAGGCCCAAACAGACAATGAAGGGTGGAGAGCAGACAGGTTGGCTGGAGGTATGGCAAGTGAGGGAAATCATGGTGGGTTATAAAGTTGGATAAATAGTCAGGAGCCAAGATTCGATGGGAATAGGCATTCTAAAGCAGGGAGCATGGATTTATCCTAAGAGCAATGGCAGAGAGGTTGAGAGCAGGCTAGCTGATGGGACTCACATTGCTGAGAGCTCACTGGGGCTGCTGGGCACAGGTGATCCTACAGAAACAGGAGCGGCGGTTAGTAGGCAGGTGAAGAAATGCAAGTGAGAGGTCAAGTAGGTACTGGCAGCATGATGGCCCTGAAGATGGAGGGATGTGATGAGATGGAGTAGAGGCATTTTAGAAGGTAAAATCCACAGGTCTTAGTGTTGGATTGGAGGCAAAGTGAGGGATGTGGCAAGATCAAGGAAGCTAGGCTTTTGGGCATACGCAAGTAATTGGATGATGATATTATTCAATGAAATAAGGTAACTTTAGAGGAAAATGGGTGAGGAATGTGATCATGAATTTGGTCATGGATAAAGTGAGTATTGGATAACGTGTGGATAACATGAATACATGGATAAAGATGCTCAGTGGAGACACTGAGTAGGCTGTGGCCTATGTTGATCTGGCTTTTAGAGAAATAACAGGAGACAGTACAGCTTACAAGGTCACTGGCCTTGAGAGGGTAATTGAAGACCTGGATGATGAGTGTGCCCAGGGAGAGAGCAGAGAGCAGAAATAGAGGGTCTAGGAATAAGTAGTCACTGACTGAGAAGTGTTAGGAGGTAAAATTAGTTTGACTGGGTGACTGGTCACTTGAAGAAGGTAAAGGAAAAGTTCTTGCCTAGAATGATTTTCAGATTTAGATGTGAGTGGTCATGTGGAAGGCAGCACATTATCTAGCTGGTGATGACTTTTGTTTGGGATGTACTGAATTTGAATAGTATAAGAAGGTGCAAATATTATTGCCATCTTAAAGGATGCATGTTTTGCATTTTCTAGTTTTTTTAATAACTTTTTTTATAACTTTCCACATCCCACCAAATAGATAGGAATAATAGAGAGTTAAATTTTGGTGGACAAATGTGGAAGGGAAGAAGTACAGAAAGACAAGAGTGTGAGGGGGTCCATGTCATATAAGCTAAGCAATTATAAAGTGGGGTGCAGGAATGAAAGAGCTAAAGAAAAACAGGAGGGAAAGACAGAAAGGACATGAAAAGCAGGGTTAGGGGATGGAGGAATTGGACTAAAGACCAAACATTAGGGTCATTCTTTCTCTCTATCTAGGACCTAGGCCAGAGCTTTAATATTAGCCAATGTTTTAGGGTAATTTAGAGTACCAGAGATTTTTATTACATAACTAGGAGATCAGTGCACAAATTTGTGCAACTTGAAAGGTACTGTGGGCTGTGAGGTTGCAGTGGGCACAAGGACGGGTGTCGGTCCATCCTCTGTGCCCTGCCTGTTCCCTCCCACCATGGCCCCCGGTCCCATCTGCTGGCAGCCCCACCCCTGCCACTGCCGCTGTTCCCATGCACTGATGGCACAGGCCCTGCTCGCATCTGCTAACAGAGTGGAGAGATTGGGGCCAGCACCAGCAGGGGGTGCGAGTGGGGCCGGTGCCATCAGCAGGTGTGAGTGGCGGTACTGCCCCAATTGTCTCTCAGGAGTAGGGGGAGGTGGAAAAGCCCTCAGGGACATTGAGGCCAGCAGCTGGCACTCACATGTGCTGACAGTGCCAAGTGATCAGGACCAGTGTCAGGCACTGGCAGTGGGTGCGAGTGGGACCAGCACCTGCAGCAGATGGCAGTGCCGGGCAGGACCGGCGCACATGGGCGTAAAGAATTTTCAGAAACCACCAGAAGCTTTCCCAGATGATAGAGACCAGTGCCCTGCTTGGTCTTGTGCTCCTGCTCACCTGCTCCACCCTTCCGCCACTGCCAAAACCCGTCATGTTCCATGCCTGCCCCTTGGTGGTTAATGCATGTCACGGTGACCAGTTGTTCAGCTGTTTGGTTGTTCCACTGTTCAGCCCATTTCACATTAGGGTTTTATATATATATATATATCTTCAGTATATATTTACACCAAATAAGTAAATACTAGAGGCCCGGTGCATGGTTTTGTGAATGGGTGGGGTCTGGCCAGCTTGCCCTGATCAGGGCCAATCAGGCCGGGCTGGTTTGGGGAAGGGGATGAGGGAGGTTGGCCAACTGGCCCCGCCCCCAGGTCAAACTCCCAGTTGAGAGGGAAATTTGCATTTTAGCCTTTTATTACATAGGATACTAAAGGCCCTGTGCATGAAAATTTATGCACTGGAGGAGGGGGGTCCCTCAGTGTGCCCCCTTTCACAGTCCAGGAGCCCTCAGGGGCAGGAGGAGGCCTGGAAATCAGGGGAATGTGACACCTCTGCTGTTGCCACTACTAGCAGCACAAGCCTTGGCTGGCCTTGGTTACCTGAGCTTCGGGCAGCCGTGGGCAGCTGGGAAGCCACCATTTGGGGCTTGCCTGTACCTCAGGTCAGCCCTGGGAGGCTGGGGGATTGAGGGGACTAAGGGACTCTGGAGGCAGACACTCAGCATGGCCAGACTACCTGGCTGTGCTACGTGCCTGCTGCCCTAGCAGGACTCGGGGGGCTGTGACTGCCATTTTGTGGCTGTGGGTGCTGCCATCTTTGAGGGTGTGGCAGTCAGTTACCATATTCCCTCCTTATTGGCTGTAGGTACTGTCATCTTTGTGAGGATTTGAGGGTCAATTAGCATATTTCATCTTTATTAGACAAGATAATGCAAAGCAAACTCTCTTGGTAGGCCAGTTTTTAGGTTTTTTCCTTAGCAATTCAATTACTTTTGGTTTAAAAATATGCATTTATAGAGTGACACTTTGTCACACCATGAGTTCTGATTTTTCTTGACAAATATTTTTTGAGGGTCTGCAAGTTTTTTAATGCTATTATATACATAGGGCCTTTAGTATCCTATATAATAAAAGGCTAATATGCATTTAATGCTATTATCACTTTAGTATCCTATGTAATAAAAGGCTAATATGCAATTTATAATTAAAGTAATTGGGAATGTATTGTATGTGATCCTAATGCAATTTCATGTATGATTTCTTAGCAGAAACTGTTGGATATGCAGGAAGATTCCCTAAAATAACGTATCCAATAAACGATACAATTGAAGCACAACTTGGTGAGTAAAGTTATAAAAGCCATTGAAATCACTAAGGGCAGCCTAGTGAATTTCTTGAATTTCAAGGATGAAGAAAATTCCATACACATCCCGTTTTCCAGTGTGGAGGTGCCTGAGCTCCTGGGAGAGGCACGGGAGCTGAGTCCTGGGCCGGGGTGGGACAAAGGCCTGGCAGTGAGCACGGCTGTCTAGGGAGTGAATTTCAACCGCTGACCTCAGGCATCTGACAGCCTGCACTACCTGCTGTGTAGTCAGAGGCACTGACCTCTTCCCCCTAGGCTGTCAAATTAAAAACTAACAACAGCCAACACAACAACAGCTATCCAGGGTGAACAAATCAAAATTACACCTATTATTTTGTCAGATTGGCAAAAAATATATTTTTTGGTGTGTTACAAATTTTAGTAATTAGTTTATTTGTGCCATGAGTCAAAAAAGATTGGAAATCACTGGTCTGAATCATTGTAAATCTGCTTATGCAAAGGCAATGAAAATGTAAATATAGTTCCTGAAAGAGGTGATAAAATTACTAATAAAACGTTGGTCAAGAATTCTGAATGATATAATCTGGGACTGGAAATTATTTTATAGGACTAGAGAGAGTTATCTTGTTATCCTTATTTTACTTAGGAAGGAGCCAGTAAACATCGCCTCAGTTTATGATCTAAGTGAAGAAAAAGGAGCTCAAATAATTTTTGAAAATGTAAAGGTAATTACTAATAAAATACTAGTTGAGTGCTTTCTGAAGAAAAAAGTAAATTAAATAAATTATTAAAAGATAAATGCTGAGGTTGAATCAAATATTAAAATCTGGTTACCTGCTATTTTTAAAAGGCATAGTTCTAAAATACATGATCTAGAAGATTAAATATATATTCATATGCCTTGTAATACTTAACACAAAGAAATCAGGATGGCAATATGAATCTTTTAATTTGATAAATGCCTTTCAATGCAAAAAATCAAATGACAAATTAAATCATTTGATACTAATAAAATTATAATTACCCCCTTCCTCCACCCCAAAAAGTTATGTTCCAAATAACAGCGCATCAGAATATTTGAAGATAAAACTCTTGGATATACAAAAGCAATATGATAAGACAATACAATTATTTCAATTATAGCGGGAGATTTTAATATACTCTGGATGTGACTAATTTGTTAGTCAAATCAGGATCTGAAAAATTATAGTAACATGATAAGAATAGTGTATTAAATAAATCACACTAATACAAATTATGAAAAACTCAGAGTCCCAGAAGAGGAAATCAACAACTCTTATCTTTTATTTATTTGCTTTGCTGGTTAGATTTGACTCACAGTCATAGTTGCAGATTACTTAGAAAATAATGGCAGTGAAAACATGTCAAGCTTCATGGAATGCAACCAACACTGAATCTAAACAAGATATAAATATCATCATTATCAATAGTAAGTGCAAAAATAATAAAAAATGCATTAACTAATCACTTAACTTTATATAAAGAGGCAACAAAATAACCCATGGCAGAAAATAACAAAGGTAAAAGTAAAAAGATAATGACTTTATTAAATGATTAGAGGCGTGGTGCATGAAATTTGTGAATGGGGAGGGGGTGTCCCTCAGGCCAGCCTGCACCCTCTCCAATCTGGGACTTCTTGAGGAATGTCCAACAGTCCATTTAGGCCCAATCCATATATATTTTAATAAAGGTCTTGTAAACTTTCAAGGAAATAGTAAAGCTCATAACAGAGGATATTTGTCTACATATCGCCATGTAACTAGTGGATTTTGCAAACACCCAGAAAATATGAGTATCTGTTATTGACTCTTCTAATTAACTTCTTGTCTTTGGAAATTCTAGCCATTGTGTTTAGACACTAAAGAGAAAAGATATGTAAACTGCTGTGAAAGAGGAAGGGGTAAACATATAATTATTTTAAATGACCTATGGTTATCTACTTGGAAATTATTAAAAAATTCTCTTAAAAAACTATGATCACTCACAATTATTCCGTAAGGAATTCCAATATAATATAAACTTTCAAATCTAATAGAACTTTTTTTTATACCTGAAATAATTGTATATTATGTAATTAGAGAAATGGCATTCAAAATTGCAATAAAAATAGCAAATTATTAAGAAATAAAAAGAACAGGAAATTTGGAAAACCTGCCTACATAAAAAAAAATTGCAACATTTTAGGCAAGGACGTTAAAAAAGACAAGTCTCAGTGATTCCTTTGCATGTTTCCAAATGGGACACTCAGTATCAGAAGTAGTTATTTCTCCCAGATTAATGTATGCTTTTAATATCTCACCAACTAAATGCACTGAATTTTCTGAAACTTGACAAAGCTTTTCTAAAAGTCATGTCAAAAAATGCTGGCAAGAGTTAGCAAAGAAATAATCAAAGAGAAGAAATATATTAAAGTATATTATAAAGTTACTAGAGGCCCGATGCACAAAGATTCATGCAAGAATAGGCCTTCCTTCCTCTGGCTGTTGGCACCGGCTTCCCTCTGGCACCCTGGGCCAGGCCTTCACTCTGGCCACCACCTTCCACCTTCGCTCCGGCCCTGCCGCCATCCTTTGGCCCCCTCCACCCTTCACCCCCCCATAGCAAGTGTCCTGGGCCAGCTGCCACCATCTTTGTCATGTCAATTTGCATATTCCCTCCTTATTTGCTGTGGGTGTTGCCATCTTTGTTGCAGAGTGGTGGTCAATTTGCATATTCCATCTTTATTAGATAACACAATAAATAAATATTTATATTTGCATACAAATATTATAGATTAAAGTAACATAAAACAATAAACAGATGCTGGAATATATTGGAATTTAGTAAAACAGATTTGGTGGGCATTTAAAAATGGGTAGGGAAACAAATACAGTATATATGTGAAGTTAATATAACTTATTAAATTTGAATACTGTGTAGTTTATTCTTTATCTTATAACAAACACAAAAATATATTTTTGATGAATTAAAGAAATATCTCTATATATAAAAGGCTAAGTAACTGACCATGTGTCTGACTGACTGACCAGCTGGTATATGACGTGCATTGGCAATCGGCAATCTATATATATATATAAAAAGCTAAGCAACCATCACATCCAAAACAACTGAACAGATGACCAAACAGGCTGTGTGGGGCAACCAGGCTGGCAGAGGGTTGGTGAGGGATGACCAAATGACTGAGCAGCAGGCTTCACGGGGTTACCAGGCCAGCAGGGGGGTTAGTGAGGGGTGACCCAACGATTAAGCAGCAGGCTGCATGGGGCTATCAGGCCCACAGGGGAGGCAATTGGGGGTGACCAGACCAACAAGCGGGGGCAGTGAGGGGTAACCAGGTTGTCAAGGGGGGCAGTTGGAGACTACTACATCTGCAGGAGAGACAGTTGGGGGTGACCAGACCAGCAGAATTGGGCCTAAACCAGCAGTCAGACACCCCCCGAGAGATCCTGGATTGGAGAGGGTGCAGGCTGAGCTGAGGGGACCCCCATGCATGAATTCCATGAGTTCCAGGCCTCTAGTCTATAATAATGGAAGTATAATATGCTAATTAGACTGTACAGCTGAATGACCTTCCAGATATCCTTCCTGACGACTTTCTGGATGAAGCCAGGGCTACAAGGGTGGAGGCAAGCTGCCATGGCTGTGAGGGCCAAGCCCCTTGCATAAACTTTGTGCATCGGGCGTCTAGTTTAAAAATAAACATTGATTTGCACATGTGCAATATTTTTCCCTGTCTGATACTGGCCTCCCATTTAAATTAATTCAAAAACAGTTACCTGTGATGTCAGCATTTGCAATGACTATTAATAAATCACAAGGACAAACTCTAAACAGAGTAGAAATATTTTCACCTGAATCCATTTTCAGATATGTTGCTTTCTCTCGAGTTCAAAAATGTGTGACATTAAAGTTAAAGTTGTAAATACCTCATCACAAGGGAAATTAGTCAAGCACTCTCAAAGTGTTTTCACTCTTAATGTGGTATACAGGGAGATATTAGAATAAGTTTAATCAACTTATCAGTTATTGTTTTTATATCATGCTTTTGTTGTTATATCATGTCATTATTTATTAATAATTTTCTATATTTTTTCATATACATTTTACTAATTTTCTTTCATCTCTAACACCTCTATTATAGAGAAAGAGTGAATAGCGATATTAAAATATTTCTTCTAATTAATTTCTTTTCAATGTGTATGAATCCATGCATCAGGCCACTAGTATATTACTTTCAAAAATAAAATCAATGGAAGAAATCACAGAAGATCAAAAATTAGATGAGCATAAAAATGTAGATAGCGCTAGGATGAAAAGCGAAGATGCAGGGTCCCTGCCCCTTATGCCCTCTGCCCGGTAAAGAATCAGCTCTGACCCAGGAGGAGTCTTGGGGATGAGAAGGCGGTCAGCTCTGGCCAGGGTGTGCTTGTTAAGCCTACACTGCGGGTCGGTTCACCGAGTGTTGTGAATGCGGTTTCAGGCTCCTCCCTCACTGTGAACTGCACCATCACAGACTCCAGGGACAACACCAACCTGCGCTGCTGGCGGGTCAACAGCACCTTGGTGGACCACTACTACTCAGAGTCCAAGCGGGTCCAAGAAGGAAACGAGTAGGTGTTCTGTCGTCCTGGCCTCTGCCAGCCAGCGGCACTTCCTCCAGTTCAGTGATGGGTTAGCGCTGCCCCCGAGAAGGTTCCTGCCTCTGGTCGCTCCCTTTGTCTTTGTCTGGAGAAGATCTCAGTCTTGCTCTGCGTGGGGAGCAACTGTTCAATGATCCTCACTCTCCCGTCCTCGTTCCAGAGGAGGTGACGGGGCGTGGCCTGCAGGGAGGAGATCAGTGTCTGTCAGCTGCCACTGAGCACCAGTCATCCCCAGGCACGTGATGGACCAGAGGCCTTCAGCCTTAAGCAGCAAAACCCATGGCGATACAGGGACCCTTGGGGAGCAGTGCATGGTCATTAGCTGATTGAGGGTAGAGAACATGTCAATAAGTTAGGGAAGTGGAGAGGGAGAGGGGATGTCCTTTGGGGCAGAGGATGGAGTCTACAGTGTCCCCAGGAGAATGCAAGTTTAGAACTACACCATGCACACCCCTCCCTGAGCTACTCGGGGAAGTGCTCATAGCACACGGTGGCTGGAGTGTCTCTAGGAAAGAGTCTGGTTCTCCAGACGTGGGATCCTGAAACTCGTTGGGGAAGATATGACTCAGGCACTGATGCTGACTCCTCTTCCACAGAACCTGCGTTGTGTTTCAGGAACACGCTGTTTACACAGTTAGCATAACCTTTTTAGAAGTGAAAATGGAAGATTACGGCTTTCCCTTCACATGCCATGCTGGCTTCATGTCTGCGGCACACTTCCTGCTAAGGCCCCCAGGTAAGGTTCCCGTGGGCGAGGTACTGCTCAGAGGGCTCAAATGGTGCATGGACACACTCGGAAGACAACTGGTGTGAAATGCAAGCGAGAAGCAGCAGGGTGGTGGGGCTCAGACACACCCAGCATGAGGTCCAGGGTGAGTCTGAGAAGGCTCTCTAGGCTCTTCGACTCCAGTGTGAGGTGCCATATAAACATATGTGCAATGTGTGGGGAGTATGTGTGGGGTGCCATATAAACATATGTGCAATGTGTGGGGAGTGTGTGTGGGGTGCCATATAAACATACGTGCAATGTGTGGGGAGTGTGTGTGGGGTACCATATAAACATACGTGGAATGCGTGGGGAGCGCCATATAAACATACGTGCAATGTGTAGGGAGTGTGTGTGGGGGTGCCATATAAACATACGTGGAATGTGTGGGGAATGCCATTTGAACACGTGGAATGTGTGGGGAGTGCCATGTTATCAGACATGGAATGCATGGGGAGTGACATGTTAACAGATGTGGAGGTGTTCTCTGCCAAAGTTCTGGAAAACAGGTGTTCCTGTACCAAACCTGGTTGCTTAATGTTTATAACATGTGCTTGTGATTTTCAGCCTTTAGGTGGTTTGTTATAAGCAATTTCATATGAAAGTAAAATCTTTGTGTATGTTTTTATCAGGTAAGCTTGTTACACTATCTGTAGAGGCTGAAGCAGAGGCCTTCAGATGTATGCTCACACAGAGCTCACTGCTGCCCACTGGAGGGGACGCACCGGGAGACCCTGACGCTGTGCTCACACCCTGGGCAGTTACACGGCCAGCGGGTGAGGGCGGGGCCTGAGGACCCTGTAGAATGCTGACTTAGTGCCCCTTGTAAGACCGTTGTCTTGATTCTATTGACACCAGCTGGTTTCCTCGGCAGGCCGCATGAAGAGGGGCTGGCCTTAACAGTGTCCCTCCATGACTGGTTTAACCGTGCTTGCGTGTGTCTAGCTGAAGTCCTGCTGGAGAGGTGTGTCTGGAATGTAACACCAACATGAGCTCAGTGGTGCTGTGTGGAGCTTGTGCCTGGCCCCTGGCCTCCTGCATGTCCATCGCCCCTTCCAATGACGATGAGCAGGGGTGCACCCACACAGCTGGCAGTCCTGACGCACGTGCGTGGCCCCGAGGCCATAGTCACTCTGCCCCAAGTGCTTCAGCCATGAGTGAGCGCCCGGCACCGCTCTCCTCACCTGGGCCCTGGGAACTCTCTGGGTTGCAGCAGTGGGAAGAAGCTTTGGGCTCATCAGCCATTATTGTTCATTTTTACTCTTCTTAAGGCTTTCTCTTGTCATAGAAAGTAAATTTTTAAAGTATTTTTGTTGGTTTCAGAGAGGTAGGGAGAGGGGGATAGGAACATCAATGACGAGAGAGGTAGGGAGAGGGGGATAGGAACATCAATGACGAGAGAGAATCATAGGAACATCAATGACGAGAGCTGCCTCCTGCACGCCCACACTGGGGATCCAGCTGCAACCCAGGCATGTGCCCTGACCAGGAATCAAGCCATTACTTCCTGGTTAATAGGTTGACGTTCAACCACTGAGTCCTACAGATCAGGCAGACAGGTAAAAAGTAATTTTCGATGGTTTCCCCCAATAATCTTGTGCATCTGTCTCTCTCTGTGGCACAGCTGAGCGATTCTTGAGGCTCTGTCACCAGTGCAGTCCTTTCTGCAGCTTCCTCCCTGGTGACCTCTCAGGGCTTCATTGCGGTCTCTGTGCAGGTGCAGCCACAGGGCCAGCCGCCGCCTCCCTCCGCTCCCAGGTGGCGGCCAGCATTGGCAGCTGCTTGCTGAGCTGCTTCTGAACTTTGCGAGAGAATGATGTGGTATGTTTTCCAGTGTAGCTGCTTGGGCCTAGGGGGCTCATTGCTGCATCATGATGTAGCATGTAGCTGTAGTTCATTTTATTGCCGAATCCTATTTAATTGAATAACGAAATCACAATTTATCTCTCCTACTATAAATACGTCATCATTGGAGCGCTTCCCACTTTGCAGCTATTCATAAACAATGCTGCTGGGACATTTCAGGCTGAGTTGGTAGTCGGAGAGGCAGTCCTCCGTGGCATATCCCTGGGAGTGGAGCCACAGAGGACTCAGGGCCAGCCCAGAGAGAGGAAGGGAGGAGACTGCACAAGACTCCAGGAACTGGAATTGAAATCAGCGCCACACTGTTGTCTGTGTTGATGGAGGCTGTGCGTATATGCTCTTTGGCTACTCTCTTCGCCTTCTTTCATCCAGTCGCCCACACCTTAGCCTTCTTTAAGATCCACGCCTCTGGACCTATTTTGTTCATTAGATTCCATGTATTAGTGAGATCATATAGTGTTTGTCTTTCTCTGACTGGCTGTTTCACTTAGCATGATACTCTCCAGGCCCCTCCATGCTGTCTCAAATGGTAAGAGCTCCTTCTTTTTTACTGCTGCATAGTGTTCCATGGTGTAAATGTACCACAGCCTTTTATCCACTGTCTGCTGGTGGGCATTTGGTTACCTATACTAATAAAAGGATAATATGCTAATTAGACTGGATAGATCAGACATCTTCCAATGTTCTTCTGGACAAAGCCACGGTGGCAGGGCTGAGGCAGAGATGGTTAAGGGTGATGAGGCAGGCAGGGGAGCAGTTAAGGGCATCAGGTGGACAGGCAGATGGGGTAGGGGTGATCAGGCAGGCAGGCAGAAGCGGTTAGGGGTGATCAGGTGGGCAGGCAGAGATAGTTAGGGGCAATTAGGCAGGCAGGGAGAAGAGTTAAGGGTTAGGGGAGATGAGGCAGGCAGAGTGGTTAGGGGCAATCAGGCAGATAGGCAGAGTGGTTAGGGGCAATCAAGCATGCAGGCAGGCCAGTGGTTAGGAGCCAGCAGTTCCATATCGAGAGAGGGTACAGGCCGGTTGAGGGACGTTTCCTCCTTCTCCCTCTCTTCCCCCTCCTCCCCCGCTTCCGACCTGTATGACTTTCGTGCACGTGGGCCTCTAGTTGTAAATATTGCTTCTATGAATGTAGGATTGTGTGTATTCTTTCTGACTGGTGTTTGGGGACTCCCTAGATATATTCCCAGAAGTGAGATGGAAAGGCAGTTTCATTTTTAATTTTTGTGAGGAAACTCTGTACTGTTTTCACAGCAGCTGCACCAAGCTTTATCTTCACTAACATTGCACTAGGATTTCCTTTCTCCACATCCTCCCAACACTTGTCATTTGTTGATTTGCTGACAGGTGTGAGGTGATTAATTAGCAACTTTCTGATGATTAGAGATGTTGAGCATTATTTAATATACGATTGGCCATCTGTATGTGCTCTTTGGAGGAGTATCTATTCAGGTCATTTGCCATATTTTAATTGGCTTATTTGTCTTCCTGTTGTACTTTATTTTTTTTGTTGTAATAGTAAATGGTATTGTTTTCTTATATTTTTATTAATTTCAGAGAGGAAGGAAGAGGAAAAGAGAGATAGAAACATCAATGATGAGAGTGAAGCATTGATCAGCTGCCTTCTGCATGCCCTGTAGGGGAATTGAGCCTGGAACCTGGGCATGTCCTCTTACCAGAATTGAACCCAGGACCCCTCAGTCCATGGATGGGTGCTCTATTAACTGAACCAAACTGGCCAGGGCATTTTCTATTTCTGATAGTTCATTATAAGTGTATAAAAATGCCACTAATCTGGATGTTAATTTTGTATCCTGCTACTTTGCTGAATCCATATATTAGACTAGAGGCCCAGTGCATGAAATTCGTGCACAGGATGTGTGTGTGGGGGGTCCCTCAGTCCAGCCTGCACCCTCTCCAATCTGAGACCCCTTGATGGATGTCCGACTGCCCATTTAGGCCCGATCCCACTGGGATTCACAATCTGGGACTACTGGCTTCCAACTACTCACCTGCCTGCTTGACCCTAACCTCTTCTGCTTGCCAGCCTGATAGATGTCTAACTGCTCCTCTGCTGGCCTGGTCACCCCTAACTGCCCTCCCCTGCAGGCCTGGTCCCCCCATACTGTCCTTCCTTCCCTACAGGCCTGATCCCCCTAACTGCCCTGCCCTGCAGGCCTGGTCACCCCTAACTGCCCTTTCCTGCCTGCCTGGTCACCCCTAACTGCTCTCCCCTTCTGGCCTGGTTCCCCCCAACTGCCCTCCCCTGTAGGCCTGCCCCCCCCATGCCCTCACCTGCAGGCCTGATTGTCCCCAACTGCTCTCCCTTGCAGGCCTGGTCCCTCCCAACTACCCTCTCCTGCTGGCCATCTTGTGGTGGCCATCTTGTGTCCACATGGGGGGCGGCCATCTTGTGTGTTAGAATTATGGTCAATTTACATATTAGATAGGATTTAACAGTTTTTTGGTGGAGACTTCCTGGTTTTCTATGCACAATATCATGTTATTGGTGAATAATGACAGTTTTGTTTCCTCCTTTCCAATATAGATACCTTTTATTTCTGTGGCCAAGACTTCCAATACTAAGTTGAATAGGTGCTGAAAGCAAACATCCCTCCCTGTTTCTGATCTTAAGGGAAACACTTTGGGGTTTTGCTCAATGAGTATGATGTTGTCTGTGGGTTTGTCATATGTGGCCTTTATTACACTGAAGTATGTTCCCTCTATTTCCACTTTGCTGAGAGTTTTTATCATAAATGGGTGCTGGATTTTATCAAAATTTTTTGTGTACCTATTGATATGACCATGTGGTTTTTATCTTTCATTTGTTTTTCATGATATATCATATTTATTGAATTATGAATATTTTACCAGCCTTGTATCCCTGGAATAAATCTCAATTGATTATGGTCTATGATCTTCTCAATTTGTTAATATTTTGTTGAGGATTTTAGCATCTATGTTCATCAGGAATATTGGCCTATGATTTTCTTTCTTTGCAGTATCTTTATCCAATTTTGGAATTAGGGTAATGATGGCTTTGTAAAGAGCTTTAAAGTCTTTCCTCCTCTTGGATGTTTTGGGATAGTTGGTGAAGGGTGGGTGTT